AAGGAAGGAAGGAAGGAAGGAAGGAAGGAAGGAAGGAAGGAAGGAAGGAAGGAAGGAAGGAAGAAGGGTCTTTAGGTCAAACTGAGCTGATTTTAATCAGACATAGCCTGACCTATGTGTAATCGCCTTCTGAACTGACAAATCGATTTGGAAGCATTCAATTCATTCAAATCCAATTCAACTTAGAGGAATTGAATTGAGCGTCTCTCGGTGGCCTCCCTGGGAGGAGGAGGAGAGCGTTTTGATCTCCTTGAAACCAACAAGAGATCTACCTCAATCCATCCCCTGACTTAGAAGATCCCCGGCCGGGTAAGGAGCCCTCATCCACAGATCCTGTGACTCCCACTCACTGTTCATCGGTCAAATGGGTGAAGTTCCTCCAGTACATGGGGAAGTCCTCGAACTGGAAGGTGTAAACAGCTATGAGGACCAGCATGGTGTAAGCCACCACAAACCACCAGAAGGCCTTCAGGAGCTTCCGCCAGAGATCGTAGTAAACCTGCAGAAGAGGTTGGGGGCAGATAAAGAGAAGACACATTTCATCCACTCCAATTTGTTATTCAGTTGGAGACCCAAGAAGTATCTTAGAACAGGTAGGAAGGTGGCCATCCCATCCGATGAATGGACCTTGTTCGCATGGCAGTACTTCTGCCTCAGAGTCAAGGTAGAAGCGCTTGGGGGAAATTCTCCTCTCCCCCAATTCCCAGAGGGCTAATAGTAGGGACCCAGATGGACCAGCCTGGCTTGAAAGCCACAATGACTGGGAACGCTGGGGATAAATCTGCAGGTCATCGAGGCAAAAGGCAGGTGGCTTTCCCTGTTTCCTTCCCCTTCGTTGCACCCTTTTCAGCCCCTTAATCTCTAAAGATCCTGACGTTGCTCTGCTCCAAAACCAGCCCCAAAGTCCCTCTTAAGGGTCCATGAAATCAAAATTATTTGCCAGCCCGGACTGAAAAATAATCACCTGGAAGAGGGTGAGGAACAGCAGGAAGAGGAACATGTAGACAATTTTGTAGACCACCAGGCGCCCAGCAAAGCTGACCACAATGAACATGCCGGCGCAGACTAAGATCCAGAATTTGGCGTAGAAGCCCTTCACGTAGCTGCCCAGGACTTTCAGGACACCGTGCTTGGGGTCTGGCTCTGCAGCAAAAAGAAGAGGGGGACGGGAAAAGTGGGGCTCAGAATGAACTGGACCCCAGGGCAGAACCCCACCCTCACTCAAAGTGAAAGTGCTGTGGCCCAGTGGTCTCATCGTGCCCAACTGGAGAGTGGCGCACTGAGTTTAGGCTTAGTGAGTTTTGGGAACCCAGCCCATTGCAGCTTATTCCACAAATGTCGGCTTGTACGCCTCCTGAATTTAAGCTGGCATCGTCCTGAAGACCAATCCTGCCATCCAGGGACAAGGTTTGAAAATCACCTGGACAGGATTCTTGGCAAGTTCAAATTACTTGGGTTGCCAAGAGGTCACCAATAAAACTCCCACAAATAGCNGTAGATTACATATTTTCATATTGTATACAGTATGCACCTTTTTATTTGTGACTGCTGTACAGGAATCCACTTCATACTGAATGATGGGGAGGGGGAGATTTTTGAGAAGACCAATATTTGCCCAAAGAGCATCCTTGAGTTTGCTAAAAGCTTCAGAGACTGCATCAGAAGAGGAATAATCTACCAGTGGAATAATACTGCTGAACACTAATGTTAAAGAATAAAGCTAGCATTGACACATACAATATACCTTATCCAAGATATGGTAATGTCTCCATTCATCATACTGAAAGGGGTGCAACAAAACAAAACTGCTAGAATAAAATTCATTGAAAACAGTATAATTTTGATAACAGTAGCCGTACAGAATAAAAACATCAAGTGTGCGGTGCCATCAAATGTGCAAACCAATGAAAGATAGCTGTGTTTTGATAAACACAAAAATGAAGCAGTTATGCACAGTGACCTTTCAGTTGTTCCCATAACTTAACAAAAAGAAATTATTTTTGTTGTGATCTCTTCCTGGCTGATTTGCTAAATCACACCCACATGCAGACAATTCCCAAAACTTTCTTTACCAGAGCCTTCACAATCAATATTTGATTCCCCCCACATCTCGATTATCAATCTCTGTAGAGAATTTCAGTAAACCAGACTAAGAAAAATGCAGTGTTCTACAGCTTTAGTTGGTGAGAGAAAAATTAACTTGTGACTCAGTGTCAGAATCCGGGTGACGTGTTTGACAATGATACTGGGAAAGGCTTAAGTAAAAGGTAGTTCTTGGAAAGTTCTGGTCATTCCTTTCGGTATAGATTAAGCAAATATACAGACACATACATACACAAACAGAAGCCCATATACCCTATTAGATTTCTTTTTATATATTATTCTCATCCTATTTGAAATTCCCCTTTGAATGTTGTTCTGCAGCTTTACCCTATATAGTATTATATACGGTACTACCCCTATGATTCCAGTTTTGACAAATACGTGAACAATTGTGAAAACTTACATTATATTGACTATTTAAGGTTCATTTGTTCCAAATTCTATCTTGATGTGATCATCAACTGGGGCGGCCATAGCCAATCACAATATGGGAAGATATCTGCTCCATTATTGCTCAGCCAAGCTGAGATAGCCCTAGAATAGAGCAATCTATTTGGATCAAAGCTACTTTGGCCAGCAAGCAGCTTTCCCTATCGATTCCATCATTTTAGCCATGGACTGAATCAGGAACTCTTTGCTTGAGAAACAGAAGACCCTTTCCAAGTCATGGATTCATCAATCGAGGAATATCCATGTATAACTCCAGGCATAACATGTGACAAATTGTTTATAACTAGCAAACATTGCACAAGTGGAATTTCCTTCTGTGTAAGGAAGCCACCTCCGAACCTCCTGGATCTGTAGCCAAGTCTTGCAAGTATCCCTCCCTTTTCGTGTTAAAATGTAGTTTGACCACAAATTCTTGTGTCTACAAGTTGATGGGGAAAGATAATGAAGAGTAAACGTTATAAAGTGGCCAGCGCAACCCTGCAGAAACGCGAAGGAAAAAGTCGTCGCACCGTAGAGACTGCTCGTCCTCCCGGCCTAAAAGACACCCTTCCCCGAAGCCGGAGGAGAGAAAGAGAGACAAGTTCTTACCACTGTTGCTGCTAGTGGGAACGTGGCGCCTCATCCATTCATAAGGCGTGCGCCTTTGCGCGTTTGGGGAGAGCTGGGGGACTGGGGCGCTCATGGGCGGAGGCAGCAGTCCAGAGCCGGGTGGCGGAATTGGATTGAAATCCGAGGGGCTGTATCCTAGCTGCCCCGGGCTGGCGACAGAAGGGGCTCCTGCGCCGTAGGTGTGCCAGTCCTCTTTAGTAGGCGGGTACGGAGGACCCCAAGTCCCCGCGGGCTGCCCCTGGTGAGGATCGCTGTTAATTCCGGGCATGTGGTGGTAGCTGGCAAAATCCGAGTACTGAGGGGGCACGGGCACATAATTTGGGGGGCTGAGGTTCAGGCCCGGGTGCCTGACCGGGTTGGGGTACATGTTGGTGTCCTTATCCAACAGATAACCCACATACATCATCCCCAAGTAGCTCAGCGTGCATAATGTGCCCGGCGCCTCAGCAGTGTCTTCCCTGGCTTGCCTTTGCAGAGAACTCCCAGCCTCTTCCTGATTAACAGTTCACCTGAACTACTTGCTCAGGTTTTTTTTTTCCCTTCCCAACTTCGCAAAGGCACCTCCCTGAGGAAAAGCCTTTTTTTATTATTGGGCCAACCTCTCGGAGCATTTGCATTGAAAGGCAGGTTTGCATTTCAAAGTCCCGGAATCAAAGTGGAAGCCACTGGGGCGAATTCAAATGGCACTAAGCAGATAGAAGGGACGGGGGTGGGGGCTGAAGGTCCTTATAAGGACTGTGCTTAGAGGGCAAGGAAAACCTGAGAATTTCCCAGAGGATACAAAGAATTCCAGGTACAAAAGGACTCATTAGGGAAATGACCCAGGAAGAAAAGAATGTCAGTTGATGTTCAGTTTTCCCAGACTTCGGGCAGGCTTGGAGACTGTAACACACAGTTACAGGAGACCCCTCTGCTAACAATTTCAACAATCCAATTTTTAAAATTCAACAACTGATTTTGAAAGCGGGAGAGCCCCTTAATTTGATCATCATATTCTCTTGTATTAGCATTTCAGAGTCATTCTGCCTGCAAACCTAAAATTTAAGCCCTCTTGCTTGATATGCCCAATGGGGTACATGTTAAGGTGGGTTAGAGGTGGCCTATTTATTTCATTTCCACAATGCTCTAACCTGGTGTCCAAGATATGCCCCAGAACAATTACTCCCAGCACAACCAGCCAATATCATTGTAGTAGTTAGAAATGTTAGTTAGGAGTTATTGCTGAACGTCTCCGGACTACAACACCTTGAGGTATCAGCCTTGATCAAGCACCCCAGAAAGTTTGGGCTAAATATGTGCGAACTTCCTAAATCTAAACATTAACATAAATAATCACAATCTATTTATTTTAAGAATACCTTTTTCTGTACTTCTTTATTTAAAGAGTGTAAGAGTCATAAACCATTTTTTCATGGTTTTCCACTTTGAGCAGAAAGCAAAACTAGATTTTTTTTTAAATCAGTGGATTTTGACTCAAGTCTGAAATAATTGTTTTGTAATGTTTAATTAAGGAAAATTGTTATTTTTCTTTACAAAAGAAAAAAGCCATATAAGATAGGAAAATAGATATTAACCTGGTATTCCGCACATACCTTCTCCCCCCCCCCCAAAAAAANAACTCACGGCATTCTTGTATTGTGTTAAAATTATCCTACCGCAAAAGGATGGTCAACCCCCCCCCTTCCCCGGACTGTCCACTCACTCACCATCATGGCAATGAGGGCGCAAACGTAGCTCTGCTTCATGACGACGTGGCCCAAGGAATGAAGCAGCTGCATCTTCTCCTGGGGACGCTTCTGTTTCCGGAGGGCTGCAGAGGGGATTGGGGGGGGGGGTTCCTTTTAGAGCAGGGGGGTCCAGACCGCCTCCCAAAGCCTCCCAGTTGAAGGGCAGGTCATACAAGGCTTCACCTGAGTGATCGGTTCCCACAATTTCATGCACGGTGAGCTCCTCCGTCCCAGAAGCCTCCGGGTCCTGGATAAGCATCGGCTGCAAACGGGGCACAAAGTGAATGATTGGGTGCTCAGCGGAAACCCCGAAGCAGCTCAAACCCAGCTCCGTTCCAGCAGGCACTTCTGGGCCTGGAAGCATCAGGAGAGGCCTCTGGAAGGAGCCGCCTCCCAGCCCTGGCCGGGCTCCCTTGTGAAGGAGGCGGTGCTGTGATTGGGACCTCCAGTCTAAGAGGATACTGTCTTCTCCAGCATCTTCTGCTGCTTCCAGGGACCCGGCCTGCCCTTCGTGCCAGCTGCCTCCTTGCTGGTGCTGAAGAGGATTCAGCCCCAGAGCCTCCGTCCTCCCCGAACCCCACTTGGCACCCGGAGCCAACGCCCACGCCCTCCTCGCCTCACCTTGGCATCTTCGGGCAGGTGGCCTTTGTCCCTGGACCGGTTTTCCAGCTCCAGAAGCTCTGAGGTGGAAGACTCGGAATCTCCCTGTCATTGAATGGTTTGGAAGGGAAGAGAAGAGGGAGGGATGTCCATTGTGTTGGTGGCTCCTCGTTCCCCGACATTCCTCCACCCGAGATGCCGAAAGCCACACAGGAGGCCCCCGGGGGTCTCACCTGTCCAGAGGAGCGCAGCCTTCGGAGCTTCACCAAGGTAGCCAAAACGTAATAGAGCAGCAAGAGGATCCCTGGATTGGCGTAGACAGGCCAGGAGTGGCTGACGTCCAACAGCAGCTTGTTGGGCTGGTTGCAGCCCGCAGGGAGGATAATGGCCTTCAGCCCGAATAACCTACAGGAGAGATTGAGGAGAGCAGCATTCGGACCCAGCTACAATGGCCGGAAAGTCCTCTTGTCGCTCTCCAACTACTCTTTATTCCTCTGGGATTTCACGGAGGGTGTTTATTTTTTTTTTATTTTTTTTCCCCATTTTTGTAAACTTTTTATTTTGTCTGTACAAAATTCACATCTTTGCAACACGTTACATTTTTTACATATCCTTTGTGATTCTTTTATCTATGCAAATAGGCGGCCTATAAATGCAAAATAAAATGCATGCAAAAAAAAATGCATGCAAATAAATCTTTTATAACTATAGCTTTATATATATGTGCATTTATATTATTTCATTCTATATATAATATTCTACATGTATAACAGTCTTTACTACATTTGAGTCGTTTGGATAATATATTTATTTGCTACAGTTTTATCTCGCATTTCTATGTTTTAATCATTTTCCAGTTTTGCAGTTGCTTTTTTATTTTTTATTTTATTTTATCAATTTCATATATACATTCACAATTATATGATCTCATAACTGTTATTAAT